TATCCTCAAACAAAAACATCTGATCCCCGTGACTGCCCATGTAGCTTAGCTCCTCATCTATAGGATGGATATATATATCTATATATATCTATATATATCTATATATATATATATCTATATATATCTATCTATCTATATCTATCTATCTATCTATCTATCTATCTATCTATATATATATAAAATCTAAACCACAGAGAAAGTATACCTTTGTGGTATATCAGGGTTATGTCAAGGCACCAGACCTATCAGAATAATGAATCCTATGATGTCCTTTCCTTACTGCTGTAGTAAGCAAGTATTTGTCTTCACGTCCCCTTCCTTCCATGGTTATACACACTGGAGATTTTAAGTCTAGTTTCTTCTAATCACTTTTAGCCTTCTTCCCCCGTGGGGTTATGATTCACTTGCTGCACTGCTCAACGCTAGTCTCGCACATGGTGAAATGACTACGGCAAAAATTCTGCTGAACATAAGAAAGGGAATGACAAATCCCTGGCTGAACTGAGCACGGCAAAAATTGAGTAATTTAGTTTTAATAACATGGAGAATTATGTTCAGACTCCAGACTTTTGAGGACTAGTGTATTCTACAGTTTTCTTCTGTGAGGTTTTTTTTGCAAACAGAAAAAGCACTTGTAAAAAGCTTTGCCTGAAAGTCCTGTTAAATTTTCAAAAGGCTGTCTAGAATGCTCTGCATTCCCTACAAGAAGCTCAGTATGTGTGTTATCAGTAATAACAGGATTATAAAGAAAGTCTACTCAGTTTTCCTGCCTCATGCCATATACCTTTTCCCACAACAAAATTCTTACCTCTTAGGCAGGCCATGTATTGTTGCTTCTGTCTTCTTTCTATAGAATAAAAATATATCCATTCTCATTAGGTCTCCAGACAGGACAGAAGAGCAGCTGTAAGCTAATATGCAGGTCAGGTTTATTGTTAGTGTATATGAGGCATTGTTTAATTATATTAATTATGTATATAAAATATTGTATATTGTTAGTTTCTAGAGGTAAAAGCAGCTCTGTGTAACAAACTGTTTTGGAGTTTGGGCTACTTAAGAGAAGGGCAGCACTCATACTGGAGTGTATTTGACCTATGAAAAGGCATTAATCTCTAATACTATAGTGCTGTTGAGCTTGTGTGTGTTTAGGGGTAAGGCATATCAAATCCTCCTAATGTAAAGATTAAATCTAATAAGATAAAAGCTTATGTTGATATGTGTGCATCGGTTTGTCTACTTTTGTCCAAATTTAAATCACAAAAGAGTATGTACTAATGTTTTTTTCAAATCTAAAATTCATACTGTAAGAGCAAAAATTTCAACTTCTATCAATAAAGCCAGCTAAAAATACTTGAATGAGCCCATGCTTTCTAGGTGACTGCTGTAGAGTACAAAGTAAAGTACAGTTCAGTGCAGGCTTACTTTCCTACCAGAACTGCTCTCTTCTCACGCAAAAAAGCTACTGTACAAAGCTAACATTGGCTTCTGCATTATTCCAGAGCTCCTGAATCTGCCAGTTAGCACAAGCCCACTGGCAATGGCTTCTCCCCTAGTCAGGACCTAGTCAGGATTCAGCTAGTCTGTGGTTCCACTACAAGACCATTGTTGCCTTTCTGGTATAGTCTGTCTGGCAAGAGCCTGCATGGTATGAAGCTTCACATAGGCTGGGGGATATTGGGGCATGAGAAGTCACCAACATCAAACCAACTGCCAGGCAATTTTGGTTGATTACCAGTCAGTGCAGCTCTCCAGCTCATTATATATGACATGGGCCCAGGTTGGTGAAGTCTGACTACAGTAAGATGATGGGAATTCTTTTGGAAATGCAGCTGACAAACATATCTGAGTGGTCAGACTTTCTGGCCAAGGCCAGGCCCCCTGTTATTTCTTTAAGAAAAAGCATTTGGTGGTGGTTAGAACTCTTCAAGTCTCGTTATGATATATATTTTGTAACTTTATTTTCTTTAAAAGCTATATGTGATGCTTTACTATTTCAGTCTCTTTTGTACACCTTAAATGCCTTGTGTTATGCAGGTTTCAGCCAGGGTTATTGCTACAGGAGGCTAGTATGGCCTTCTTGCTAACTATTCTTCAAAACTTTTTTGGGTGGAAGGACAGTAGACAAGAATTCAGTCAATGGTCACAGCCATGTCTACCTAGAGCATGCATAGCTATCTGAGAAATAACTGCCTGATAACCTTTTCTGCAATTCCCAAATAACTTAAGTTTTCATATGTAGTGATTATGCTTGTCTCTACTCCTTGCTGATAACAGTCTAGCTATGCTTTCTGCAACTAATCAATACAACTTAATTTTATTATGTAAATATCCATCAGGCATTTGGAAAAAACTTACAGCCTTAATTAAAAAAAAAAATACTGAAATCCCCACAGATCTCCAGCAATTGAATAGAGGGGACTAATGGAACTGTTCCCCTCACTACTTCAGATTCATGTGCAGTCTCATGTAAATAACAGCAAGTGGAATTTACTTCTAGACTGGTTTTGGGGCCAAGATGAAGAAATCTTTCAGTAGAAGACTGAGGTTGCTACAGAATACTGTAGACCTTGAGATTACACTGGTTTGGGCCTGTCCCTATGTGAAGGGATATACTGCCTGAATTGGAGATAAGACTTGGTGCTTTAGCACAGTCAGAGGCATTTCTGTATAAGATGGTGAGACTGGCTAAACAAATGGCAAAGTTGAGGAGCTCCTTACAGCTTGTGTGGTGGTATATGCAGTGGCTGGCTTAATATAACTGAATTTGACCCTGTGGAGCTCCATTTTTAAATTACAAAAACTCCAAATCCTCATAATTTAAAGATAAACCTTCTTTAGATGTGACACAATTGATCTGTAGAAGTAGCAAAAGACTTCTGGCCAAACTTTTTCCTAAATGGTATTTGATTCATGAAGATAGTGGGCATGTACGACAATCTGTAGTCACTGAGATGCAAGCTTGGTGCCTGCCTTGTTGGCCTTAAAGTCCCTGGCATAAATGCTGCTTCAAAACTTGAGCTTTGAATATGGAGGAAAAGCTTTTCTCTTGGATGGCCATTGTTCTCACACAGGGGATAATAAGCTGGTAGTGAAGAAATTCATGTGTAATTTCCACTCCTCAGAATATGCTGGCTAGTGATGCTGTTTTATGCAGTATTATACTTTAAAGTGGAACAGCCAGAAATCAAGTCAGCTTTATAGTTCTCTGGAAGTTCACTGTAGCTGCTGCTGCTTTCAGGCAATTCTAACAGCTGCTTTTCTGAAAATGTCTATAGGGAATGAATTAATCGGTACACTGAAGTACTGACATTAAAATGAAGCAATTGAGCTAGAAAAGCATGCTTTTGAACAGAATCCCTGTCAAGTTCCTTTACCTAATGAATTTGACTCTTTTTGAGAAGATAATACCCAGTTCTACTTGTAAATGTTTGTCTTTGCTAATCCAAGGTGGACTTGAATGTTTATAAACAGAGGACAACTGCTTCCAATTGAAATTCTTACTTTCTCTATTCTAACACTGCATATGCATTAAATGTTAACAGCAGAAGTGATGACACACTGTAAAAGTAAAGTGCAGGGTCTACTTTTTCCCAATGAAGCCTTCTGAACAAAGCAGAAAGCTATTTTAGTAACAGGCAACATGACGCTGGTAGGTGCACTCGAGTACAAACACAGCATGATGGTCTGATCTTCCAAACACAGGAGTTGAACTGGCACTTCTACATTTCAAGTATACAGACTAGAATAGCTGCTTAATAAAAAAGGCTTTTTTAGTTTACTATGCTTGCTAACCATTGGTTTTCCCTGGGAATTTTGTTGTGAATAATTGTACTTTAACTATTCTGATAATCTTGTTTCAAATCCTGGGATTGCTGTAGAACTCCTATAGTTGGAAATTATTGGACAGAAGGTCTTAGCCCTAGAAGGTAAAAGTTAAAGATAACAGGTTTATCTGTGTTAAACTCCTTTTCAGCTTGTCCCTGAGGAAAAATCAGTAATATAGGAGACTTCTTTAGAAGATGCTGTCATCGTTTAACTTGGCAGGCAGCTAAACACCATACAGCCACTCACTCATGCTCCTGCAGTGGGACAGGGAAGAGAATTAAGAAAGTAAAATTCATGACTTGAAATAAAGACTGTTTAATAGGACAGAAAAGGCAGGGGAAATATGAATAATGATAAAAGAATTAGAATATGCAAAACAAGTGAGACACAATGCAGTTGCTCACCACCCGCTAACAGATGCCAGTTCCTGAGCAGTGGCCCCTGGCCAGTTTTCCCCTAGTGTGTATACTAAGCCTGATGTCATGGTATGGAATATCCCTTTGGCCAGCTGGGGTCAGCTGTCCTGGCTGTGTCCTCCCCCAGCTTCTTGTGCTCCTCCCAGCCTACTTGCTGAGGGGGGTGAGAAGCTGAAAAGTCTCTGACTTGTTGCTAAGCAGTGTTTACACTAACTAGAACATCACTGTGTTATCAACATTATTCTTATCTTAAATCCAAAACATGGCACTGTACCAGCTACTAGGAAGAAAATTAACTCTATCCCAGCTGAAGCAGACAGATGCTTTGAAGGCTCTTAGCCTTGGAGCTTGTAGAAACCCTTGTTGCTCACCCTTCAGAAGAAAGCTGAGTTTGCTTAAGTCTCTAGCTGAAGTAACTAGGTTTATATCAAAATCTTGCAGAAGCTCTTTTGATGAAGAATGATTTGTGTATACCTGTGATGGTGTCTTTAGGCATTACTTCTCAAAGAACATTATTCAACAAATAAGTTTAAAAAAATCAGTGGTAGTTGAGATTGTAAAATGCTTTTAACATCCTAATTGTTGTGTATGATATACACAATGGCTGTTACAGTGAAATTACATATAGATAGAAGAGGCAATGTTGTATGACCTAGGTGACTAGACCTGAATGACAAACTTGTATGTACTAACCTGGTACAGAAGTCCATATACATTGCCTACTAAAATAATATACTCTCTCACTGTCCTCTCTTTCAGGCCAGGAGCGCTTTGGAAATATGACCAGAGTATACTACAAAGAGGCAGTTGGTGCTTTTGTGGTCTTTGATGTCACAAGAGGCTCCACTTTTGAGGCTGTTTCAAAATGGAAGCATGATTTGGACAGTAAAGTACTACTTCCCAATGGCAACCCCATCCCTGCTGTTCTTCTTGCAAACAAGTGTGACCAGAAGAAGGATGGCAGCCAGAATCCCTCTCAAATGGACCAGTTCTGCAGAGAAGGTGGCTTTGTTGGATGGTTTGAAACATCTGCCAAGGTGAGCATAAAGAAGAAACATGTTTTAACTCTTCTAAGTATTGGCATAAGAATGGATGAATATAGTCATGTGGGGAATAAAATTATCAAGTATAGGAAATGATAGTCAAGTCTCTAGTGTATAGCAAAATTGGGAAGTGGTGTGCAGGCTAGCTCACTCCCGAGAGACTTGCAGCATAGGTGGTTTAGATTAGAACTGCAGTTTAAATTTGGAGAACCTTGAAACTAACTGGAAACCTTGATTAACTGAGTTTAAGTTTTTTTCATCTTGCATGCATCAGGATCAGAGTCATTCTTTAGGTGTTAATAGTCCTAAATGCTGATCAAACTATCCAAAAGATACAAGTCTTTAGGAGCAGGTTTTCAAATTGCAGTTTGTCTTCACTGTTGCAACTAGGATGTGGTAAGACTCTAAAAGTGAACAAGCTATTTGCCCACTTGTTACTACCTGCCCAGATGATAATGTCACTAAAGCACTTTTCTATTTTATCAGGCAGTGTCAAGACTGAACTGAAGAAAAACAAATTGTTCTGTATAGTAACAAGACAGACAGATGCTTTATTCAAACAGATAACTGAGTAACTTCATATGTTGTACTTCTAGTCTACAGACTTGGTCAATGCACAGATAAGCTTGTGGTTGCAAGTGAAATTCAGCAGTTCCTTAAAATTCAATTGATTCTTAAAATGAAAGGTTCCTCTAGATGAAGACAATGTGGTTGACAGACCAAATTACTGGTCTGGCTCAACTACTTTATATGGTAAGCTAAACCTCAAGGTCCCTCTTTTCCCTTGGTTTGTCTACTTCCTTTAACTGCTGCTGATGAACTGTCACAAAATGATGCTTAGACAACCCATTTAAAGCAAAAAGTCTATAAGAGAAATATAAGAAATAAAGTAACAAGCTTCTGCCTGATCACTTTAAGGAAGAAGGGTACACAGAAACAGGAGTCAGTTACATTAGCTAATTGTTTGTATTTGAACAAATAGTTCCCAAACCCACCCTTCTGTTACTGAACCCCTCACATTTTAAGACTCTTTATACTCAAAGACTGCCAAGACTCTGCTTTGGGTTATGTCTTCCCTGAAGTTTTACCTGCCTGTAACACTGCTATATATAAATTTCAATGTGAGTTAAAAATACATGTTAGGTTTTATTCCAATGTTACTTACGTTTATTCCACTAACATGGAAGTGTAGTGACAGCTTACATTTTAGGTGGCATTTAAGACATGACAATGTGAAACAAGGTTCTTGGTGCAGGAAAGTCCAGACAGTATTAGTCCTAGTTCAGTTATTGACTTGTCTAGGACTCTGAAGAGGTGTAGTTTAATTAGCTTAGCAAAAAATCAGGACAGCTCTTTTGTTTTCTAAGCATAACAAGTCAGTTTATGGTTTTAAGTCCTGCTCACTTACATATCCTAATGATCTGGTTTTGCCTTTCTGCTGGAACTGATAGGTCAATCTTCAATCTAGTCATCAGTAGTATAGGTCCCACTCCCTGTGGATTAGGGGGAATATTAAAGGCAAAAGAACTGTAGAGTATAAATACTCATAGAAATATCTTATGAACATCCTTACACTAAAATGAGGAGAATCCTCCTTTACTCTGGTTAGGGAAAAGTTCCTGTGTGCAAACTGCCAAAAGCAGTTTGTGGCTAACAGTCACAAGCTTGTAAAGTGCAGTTGTGATGGGTCAAATTTTCTCATGATCTAACCATTCTTGTGTAGAGTTTAGATCTACAGTTAGAGGCAGAGTGTTCTGGCATGGTATTTCCTTTGGAACCAAGGATGAGTAATTCCAAATGTGGCAGCCCTGTGGTGAGTCAATAGGTGGACCAACCAGGTCAAAGGCCCCTTGGCACTGGCCAGCTTGACCCATCAGTAGTTGAGTTACCCTGATGAAATACATCTCTAGGTATCCTGCATTCACATACATGCTTAAGATGGTGTGTAGATACTTTTCAAAGCATGCACAAGAAATTTTATAGTGGCTAGATGAGGCACACTGATTTAGCTGGGGTTTTGATGCTGAAAAGGTCCTTTTACATAAATCAGTGCATCAGAAGCAGAGAAATCCCCCAAAAGGTAGAACACTGCCATGAACACTGTAATTGCCTATTATCTTTCCTGATGCAGAAATGCATTTTGGCATTGATTGAGTATTCCAAATGCAGGTGACACTTACACCAACTTCCTCCAAGATTGGAGTCAAAGTATGCTATTTGTAATATGGGTGAATAAATTGGTCTCAGACCTTTCTGGTAACTTTTTTTTAAAAAGCAAGTGTATGAGCAATGACCTGATGCATCTGAGCTGTTTGTGTCATGCTGATGAGACTGTAGAAGAGCTTCTGTATTTGGCCAGCTTCTAATAGGAATGTTTGACTGTTTCAAAATCACTGACTTCTTTGCTTTCAACATTTTTAGGACAACATCAACATAGATGAAGCTGCTCGATTCTTGGTGGAAAACATCCTTGCCAACTACAAAACCTTCCCTAATGAAGAGAATGATGTGGGGAAGCCAAAACTGGACCTAGACCCATTGAAAGCAGAGAGTAAATCACAATGCTGCTAATGCTATCACTGTTCAGTAAATGTGATGGGATGAGCAGCAAGACTGTTCCTTAAATCAAACTGCTGCTATGGTGCTGCGTTGTGACAATCCATATGGGGTGTCTGGTATTATCTGAATAGGTGATTCTTGTGGGTGTTTACATATTCTTGTTTAGCATGAAACGGAGTATCTTTTAAGTTACCACTCCACTTGCTTGAGTGACTACACCTAAGTCTGACTAGTGTCTTCTTACTTGAGAACATAAGGAGGTAGTGTTTACACTCCTAAAAAGGAACAAAGACAACATTCAGTGTCTAGTTTGCTTCTAGGACATATGTTATATTCCATATAGGACTCAGTCATCATGGTTTTAGCTGAACAGACACTTGCACCTTTAAGCTTTTCCTTTATCACCAGTAATGTCCCACTTCAGCCTTCTTGCCTACATTCTTGTCCCTATTTATTATCCCCCACTATGAAGATCTGTCTCATTGCTAGTTCTCCTGGATCAAGACATCCCAGAAATCTTGAAGGGGTCAATGACAGATGGGAGGTATCTTTCTTAGTGTGTTCACTAGGATTGAGTGAAGTAGATGGCTTTTACCACTGAGTAAGAACAAGATGGGTAAATGGTACTTAACAGGGGAAAGGCATGGTTATAGAAATACTAACAAAAATGCGTCTCTAGCCACTTAAGGCAGAATATTTTCAGCTAATACTTTACATATGAAACACATTAATGGAGTTGCTGGCACATAGTTATGTTAACCTCACCCATATGCACATCCAGAAATAAACATCCAGTAACTTCTTCAGGCACTAACACTGAAAACTTTACCAAGAGTGCAAAGTAAGTATCTTAGTCCTGTGATAATGAACTTGCTGTTTTTTCCTTCAGTCTTGAGATGGTTCTTAATGCCATGAGGAAGGAGAGAGGTCTTGAAGGAAATAGCTTAACTGGTTCTTGCTAGCCTATCAAGCACCCCACCCCCTCACCCCCACCTCCTCAGCTCTATCTTCAATTTTAGAACAGTGCTGCACTCTTCTGATTGCTTGGAGCTGGTGAACTGGTTTACCAGTTTGTAACTCTATGCTGAGATGCCTATGTTTCCTTGTTATAACTCATGTATTTTTGGCAGCAAATGAAGAGCAAAAGGATTAGAGATTTCATGGTTCTTGAATATGTTCTGGAACTCTGGCTCTGCTTGGCTGAAAGGCTTTGAAGCACCTCTTTATTTTAAGGGTTTCTTCTGTCCTGGTACCTCATTGCTACTGACTTCAGAAGTCTTATCTTGCTTGGTTTGATGGTGCTGATTAAGTAAACATCAGCATATGAAGTACATGCCAGATTGGATATACATTAATCTGTATTGAGATTTCCTAGGCTGTCTTTTTTTTTTTTCTTCTGGAGAGTAATGTACTTTTTAAAAGGCAAATAAATGTATTTGGGCATCTTATGTATGTTGTTGGTGTATGGTTTTGAGCAAAAGAATCTTCATATCATGTATTCCACTCTATACACAAATACTTTCACTGACATTTGAAAACAGCTTTATCTTCTGGTAGCTGCTGTGTTAAAGGCTTATTTTAAATTTCCACAATAAGGCTTGGCATAAGTTAAAATTTGGTTTAACTAGCTTAGGATAAGATAATACAGATGAAAGGTTTATTGGGAAGTGTTCTAAGCCAACATCCTTTTCCAAGCAAAGTCATACCAGGGTGTTTAGGCTTTCACATGGTCTGGTCTTAAACCTTCAACAATGGAGATTGTATGGCCCTGGGAAAGTTGTTTCAATGCCTGACTGTCCTCTGGTGGAAAGGTTCAATCTAGATAAACTTCAACTTATGTCCATGCTCTTTTATCCTCCTACCATGCACCACTGTAAAGACTGTGTCTGTTAGGCTTGTGCAAATTTATTGGGCACTTAAAACTTGATTGCTAATTTTTTTTGAAAGCCTCTAGCACTTCAGAAAGTAAGTTGCACCCCATCCATGTTACTTGCTGGCTCAAGTTGTTAACCTTTCTTTAGAACTTTAGAGCTTTAATAGATGGCTAGCCTTCCTTCATTCTATTATACAAACTGTATTTTCATTCCTGTTCCTTGGAGGGAGCATTGCTGCGTTGGAGACTGGTGGGATAGTCAGGAAATCTGATCCAGCCAGAAGATGAAAACAAGACTGGCATTTTAGCCTGAGGAGAGGAATGGGAGCATGTCCCTGATAGAGGAGAATGAGACTAGTTTCTGCAGAAATCTTTAGGTCAATTAAACTAGTCATGAAGCCCTATCCTAATTAACCCAAGAACTTTGATTTGGAAAATGTGGAAGTTTAAACAGACCCAATTTAACTTCAGGTTAATAAGTGAGTAAAAAGTGTCAAACATAATTTGTTTTACATATACAGGATATATAGTAAAGTGATAATTCATCTCAATTACCAGAATGGAGGCCCCATGCTATTTATGTCTTGAAATCTGAAATATGTCAAGCTTAAATGAGCAAGTACCTGACTTCCTAGTCCCTATATTTAAGGCACAGTTTTGAGATTAAAAACCTGAGTAAAAATCTGAATCAGTGCCTCAGTAAAATGCCTTTCCTGGCATGTTTCCATCAACTGATTTTGTAAATGGGATATAGTCTTTCTGGTTTGTAGTTGCACAGTATGTCAGTGAAGCTAATGCAAAGTCAACCTCTATTCATTTAAAAAGCTTAATGAGGCATTACAATTGCTGAGAAAACAAGGAGTTAGAGCAATTAGTGATCTTTCAGTATGGGATTTTCTAGGTGTATCTTAACTACAGAGGTAGAAAAATGAGCTCTTCCAAGCTCCAGAGTTTTGTTTGTTTAAACTTTGTGTCAGACCCATTGAGTTGTAATAGCATTCAGTCTCAAATTGAACAAATCCTTGTTCATCTGTAGTCATTAATCCCTAGGTAATAGTTTGAGTCATTCTTGCAGACTCGGTGCCTGAGTAACTGTTTGATATATATATATATATATAAATAATAATATCATGTGATATGAGGAAACAGTTATAAAAGAAGTATGTGCAGTAAAACCATGGTATTGAATGGTGAAACATTTTGCTCTTAAACCGTTGCTCCCATACCTTTCTAGTCTTAACTTCTTGCTAGTGACCTTGGTTCCAAAACAGAGAACTGATTGCCTCTTCCTCCCTTTACAGAACACCCTGTTTGGTACAGAAACACATTTTTAAGTGTGTGTATGCCTTTGTCCTTCATATAATGAGTTGCTAAAGAATTTAAGAAATGAGGATAGCAGTATACCTACAGGAGTAAAAAATATATTAACAAAATGCCAGTGAGATAAATGATTCTGAATTGAAATGCAGCATTCACTTAATAGTGAGAGGTCACTTCAGAGTTCCTTGTCCTGCAGCAGACTAATATTGAAAATAAGGAATATACTAGATTCGTATCTGATGTAGGGAAGATAATTTGAAAGAAATTGTGCCTGTGTTGTCCATGACCATCATAAAGATCTGTCTGTAAGCTCAATTCTGTTTCAATCCGTGTCTGAACAGGGGAAAGAAAGAAGTACTCCGTGTATTTTTAAATATATGATTATGGACTCATTTATCACCACCTAAAATAGTTCAGTTCATTCAGTGAAAATTTCTAACTTAGAATGTCTAAGTAGCTTATGTACTTGAGTGAATAAATTCTACTAGATGGTTATTTTATCTCTTTAGTCTGTGTACATACAAAATGCTTCCTACTCCAAGTACCTTAAGAAAAAACTTCCTTGTTTAGGTAGAGGTGCTGTTTCAGATAGCTTTGGCTTGGAAAGTGTACAAGTAGAGGGTCAGCATCGCAATATCAGTTCCTTCATCCTTTTTCAAAGATAATAAGAGATAAGTATAGTATCTTGCATCTATTTATCACTGGGTGAATCATAATTTAGCCTGAATTCTAAATTAAAATATGCAGGATTTCTGGCCTTATTGCCCTTAACTTGTAATGAGGAGTAAAAGGTACCTGCTAAATGTCATGTGATATTTTAATATTACGGGATTTTATCTGTCTCTTACAGGTTCTAGAAAATGAAACAAAGTGTTCAGAGTTTTGATAAAAAATACAGGCTTCTGGTTTGTGCCTCATCATTTTTTTTAACTTAGGAAATTTTAACATGTTTGTTATCATGCTTAAGTTACACTAAAAACTATCAGTCCTGTTGGAAAGCTTGTAGCTCCTTAAAGGTTAAAGATAGCATGGGCATTCTGCTAACTCTGCTTCTAAACTCTGCCGTTTACTGGTATGTATCAAAGTAGTATGTACTATTCATCCAGAATAATGGACTTCCAACCTCTTACACTGTCCTGGTTTTGGCTGAGATAGTTAATTTTCTTCCTAGTAGCTAGTATTGTGTCTTAGATTTAGTATAACATTGATAACGCACTGATGTTTTTAGTTGTTGCTAAGTAGTGTTTATACTAAGTCAAGGATTTTTCAGCTTCTCATGCCCTGCCAGAAAGAAAACTTGGGGGGGG